AATTTATTTTTTTATTATTTAGGGAGCATTATAAATATTTATGTTTTTAAAAGAAAAAAAACTGCTATTGTTATAAAGAACACCTTCAATTGAACTAAACTATACATGCCTATTTAAATATATTTACACATGGCTTGTGTACATCTATATATACATATATATTATTCATACCTTTGGTGTATAGGACGCAAGCAAATTTTGACATCAAATTTTGGGGTAAAAAAAGTGCGTATTATACACCGAAAAATACGGTATATTTCATTTGCCATCAAGATTGAATTTTGAATAAAAACTGTAACTTTTATCTAAAAGCTGAATTTTTACTCTGTGGTATTCTTAATAAAATTTATGCTGTATTTGTTTTGTTTTGGATCTCGTTCAAAGCTTTATGAGGCCTATTTGTGCCAGCTGTTCGTAATTCAGCAGTAATAGACTAGAGGGAAGGCAGCTAGTTAATGCTACCCACTGCCAAATCTTTGGCTACTCTTTTACCACCAAATAGTGGGATTTACTGTCACACTATAATTCATCCATGACAGTAAGGTGTGAAGGTAATTCTAACCCACGACACTCAGAATGCGAGTTGAGCACCCTAACCACCAGGCTGTGCCAGGTCCTGTATTAGGATTTGTTTACTAATGTAATTGGAAAACAAAATAGTTCTTCAGAGGACAAAATGAGAGATTGCACAAATGTGTTGAAACTAACATAAGATCTTCATAATTTGTTACATTTACTATGGTTTTCAATAGTTTGTTTAATAAGTCCACTGTAAGTACTGTAAAGCCATATGTGTTATTTATAACTCTTTTTCTCTGTAAACAAACTGTCATTTTAAAAGAATATGGATACCTTTTTTATAGTCATTAAGTGATTGTGTTTCAGATTTTTGTTTATAAAACTTTTTGAAAACACATCTTAAAAGAGAAAGACAAAGGAAAAAAATAGCCGAGAGGAAAACAATCTTAACATTTTACATGCTCGGCTTTTATGTGGCTAAGAGTATAGTATAGTTATCAAGAGAAAGACAGTTTTAGTTGTAAGAAGGGATGAAATTACATATTTGTTTCAGAGATTGTATTTCATTATATTTTTAAACAGGATAAAGAAAACGAAACTCATGTAGTTCATCTTGTATGTTCTACAATAAATGAACCTGATATATCGGATCCTAGTGGACGACAGGCTAAAGAGGTAAGACCATCTTTGTTTGTTAGCGTGCATTATTTGTTGCTTATATCACATATCCTGAGATTAGTGAAAGGCACAAAATTGAGTACAAGTTTTCTTTTTCTTCACATCAGTTTGGAGTTTTCCAAATTTTTTGGCCCTAGTAAACTTAAGAAAACCTCCCAAGAAATTGAAACTATACAGTTGAGTTTAATTAGTAATATCAGTTGTGATCTGACTCTTTTATAGGGTTACTCTGCTGCTTTGTAATGAACTTGAAATTTCTCTGTAGATTAGTTTTGGTAGACATCTTCATTTTGTGCTTTTTCTACATCGCATATTTCTGTGTTGTCTCGGTTGTTATAAGATGTCATATCTTAGAAATAATATTTTTTGTTATTATTACCATTAGTTTGTTAAATCGCCTAGTTAACTGAAATTGTAAATAATATGATATTTGATTTGTCTACTGTGTAAAATTAAAAAAGACTTTTCTCCATAATAACTACTTATATGTATCCCTGGATTAGTTACATTTTTTGTTGGTATATACTTTGTATATTTCTTGAACAGAAAACCTGGGAGAGCTTTAACAGTTTTGACAATGCAACATTTTGTTCAAACCATACAAGCCCTACTAATCAAAGTGATTCTCCGTTCTTGGCCACTAGTTCTGATGCCGTTCATCACCGATCAACAACTCATTTCAACACAAATAGGTATTAACCATCCTTGTTTTGTAACTGATCTAGCTAGGAGAGGTAATTCAGGCCTCTACTGATATTTTGTTAATCATAGAAATTTAAATAATCAGTTTCAATTTGATGAGGTTAACAAACTGTTTCTTTAAAAAAGATCTTAGTTAATTTAATGAATTTAAAAGACATTTAAATTTTATACATATAGTTTTTTTAGTTGTACTATGGTCAAGCTGTTAAACACTTTCCAGTCATAAAATATTAAAACTAGTTGTTCATTGTTATTGGAGATTTACTAGAGCTAATTCTGTGTTTGTGATGCCTGACAATCATTGGATTATGTTTTTAACTTATTTTGCTTTGTCAAATTATATTTCAAACTTATTGTTTAAGAAAATAAATTATTGCAACTAAATTTCTGATGGCTTCTTAACCTGACTTGATATTGATGCATGAGGGTTCTAAAAATATTGCTTGCAGTTTTTCTGCTTTGTGAAAACAAAGTTATGAAAATTTAATTCTATGAGTTCGTGTTTATTGGCGTAACTTTTTTTTTTTCTTGTGTTTGAATTTATTTTCGTTACAAATGTTTACCACTCATTTTATATCAGAAGAACTAAGTAGTATTTTATTATAATTTTTTAGTCTTTAACCCTCTCTGGACCAAAGAGCATTTTCCAGGTGTTATGTGCTCACCTTGTATTAAATTTCAAAATTTAAGTAAAAATAATTCTAACTCCATTTCAATAATTATTAACACAAAAATATTTTAGAATTAATATTTTGTCATTTTTGTTACATTCACAAAGAAAATTTTTTTTGACTTTCATTACTGCACAGCTTAGAAGAATCTTGCCTGTAAACAACACATCAAACTTAAAAAAAAAGTTTTATGATCATTCCAAACTAGAGGTCTATATTTGCTAAGAAACTATGCTGCTTTGAGAACATAACTATCCATGGCTTCTTTCTCATATGATTGTCCTTCTTTGTTATTGAATTTGTGTTGTAGCTTTTCATTGTCATTCTTTCATCGTGCTTCACCATGTGGTCTGAACAGTTACTAATGAACCTTGACTTTTAAAATTGCTATAGGTAGTGCTAATTCCCCAAAGGAAAAGTGCTGGAATTTAACCCATTAACTGCCGATTACGGATATTTTCATCATTGAAGTTCTATGGCTCAGCTGCGAATGACGGAAATATCCATCAGTCGCACGTATATAACTATAACTCTATGCGAATGACAAAAATTACCATTTTATTGTGATTGATGGCAACTCAGTTTTATCCGTGAGTCAGAAAATGGCAACTGAGCTGCTCCTGCCGCAGTTAATGGGTTAATATATCATTTCAACAACAATTAAAAATTATCTAAAAATAGCACAACTCTTCCAGATTTTTGTAGTTGGTGAAAACAAAGTAGAAACTAAAACAAATTTTTAAGGAACTAGTGACATTGGAAAACTATAGTTTCTGTTTGGATGACATTTTATTCACTATCACTACCATAGAACTTATTAGCTGATCATACTGTGCTGTAGATGTGTGACACAGAGGTGTAAATAATAACCCAATGTACCTTGGGTATAATAGGGCAAAAATAGCAAAGTATATAAAGCACAGTTTTGCCATTTGCTTCACCAACGGTGTATATTAGTTCATTTAAAAGAACAGGGTTACTTAAGTATTTGCTTTTTTCACATCTAATATTTATTGAGCCTAAAGAGAAATGTAAATTGAAGTACTTTTATGACAAATGCTGCACATACATAATAAACTGAAAAAACAACAACACCTAACGTTTCAATCTGTTTTGTGCCCAAGCATTAAGATCTAGCTGAGGCATTATTCCAGCAAGAGGTGATACTATGACGGTGATACATTTTCACATATTTGAAGTCAGGTTTGAAAATTGTTTGCCGTAAAAAAATGTTATATATATTACTAAAAAAGGTGATAGAACAGCAGTCTGCTATGACTCAATTTTTGCCCGTAGGCAGTATTTAAATTAATTTGGATAGAGTAGATGGTGAACTATTTATGTCATTGTAGAGTAAGTAAAGTAAGCAAGAGTTATAGGGGGGGGTGAACAAAGCAATCTAATGGAAAGTTAAGACTTTGGAACAAACTACAGATTCTGTAGATATTCCTTTCATTCCTGAAAATATTTTTATGTTAAATTATATCTGTTTGAATCCTATTAAAAAGTTCCTTCTATGACAAACCATCATGTAAGCTTAGTTAGGTTTAGCAAGTGCAGTCAATAGTAGAAAAATATGCCCGTGACTCTCGTCATTATTTATTGAATATTATTATTAAGATTATCATGCTCAAACAATGCACACACAAACACATAAAATAACCCATTATATTGTGGAAAGAAACTACATTTAGCTATAAATTGATCATTTATTATCAAAAATTACAATATTTAGCCTAACAAAGATACTGGTGGTGCCATTTTGAAGGGTGAGTTGTCTTAGGTCACTAATAATTCATAGTTTTAGCTCTATTTTTTATGGTTTGTAAGCAGAATTGGTGACTGTTACAATTGGCAAAATAAATTATCAAAACAAGCATGTTATTAAATATCAATCATATTGAACTTAATAAGAAATAAATTTAATTATAATATAAAAGGAAGCAATTTTTAACTTTTTAAAACAGTATCTCGCAACAGAGTTGTAAAAATTCTTAACTTAAAAAATGACTGAAATACTAAGTCAAAATATTTGATTTCTTTAAACCACAACTATAAATTATTTATTAAGTTTGTAATATGCTTCATACAACTCTGTTAAGTACATCCAGTTTGAGAAGGAAAATTAGTGACAAACCTCTTGTCTGGAAAGGATTAAACTCCTACAGACCAGAATAACAACCTAAAAGTATTGTAACTAAATAATTAATAGCAAATAATTGTTATAGCTTTCCCGGTTACCAGTTGTCCCCAGGTGTCCCTTTGAATCCCGAAGAAATGTTGCAGCAGATGCTAGCCATACAACACGTTTATGCTCAGTACGTGGCCCACTACATGCAGTAGTAAGTATGGAGACTGTCTACTTTAATAACTTACACACCAATATATGTTGAAATAAATGTTGAATATCTACAGTTAACCTGTAACACCTATATTTTGAAAGTGGTCCTACTTGTTTGTTTCTATGACCTTTAAAAACCTTTTTTTCAACTAACCTGCATAAGAAGTCTGAAATTCAGCTTCAGTGTTAATAAGTCTGATGATTGGTGTCTTTTCTAATAGTCAGAAGAGGATAACACCATCATGAGTGTTGATATGCAAATAATTCCAAGTTCTCCAATACAGAATTTACACTATGAGTATCATTATTAGAGGTTATGTGTTCCCATAAAATTTCTATGACTATAAAAAGACTGTCTGCATCAGTTTGTCTTATGTTACTGGATGCTTAATTTCTGCAAGTGACCATCACCGAAGCCTGGTAAAAGTTGTTCAGCCAAAAGAACCACTCATTTCTCTGTCATTTATTAAATTGATTTTACAATTTTCAAGATTTTTGATACATTACTAGCCTTTAAGAAGCTGAAACATGTTTTAAAGGAGTATTGTACTCAAATATTAAGTCCATTTTTGAGCAACAAACTTCTTTTAGAACTTTAAACTTGTAGTAGTAATGTATCATTTCTGAATGTTGTTTTCAGTGCTCAGACAGGAACTAGCCTTAGTCCCCAGTCAGGAGTTCCTGTGACAGGTGAAACGGCATCTTCAGCAGTAGCTGACATCAATGTAGCCAATGAAAACCTCAGAGTCCAGCCCCAACCTGCCAATAATAACAACATGCAGATGAATGTTCAAGGAGGACCTCTTATGGAGGAGGATGAGGATGAGGCTGTGAATTGGGATTGGCTGGACTGTTTTTATTTTTTCAGTCGTAGCCTTGTTCTTTTCAGCATTGTTTTCTTTTACTCATCCATTGGAAGGTTTTTGATAGTCACAGGAATCTCCCTGTTTATATATCTGTAAGTCTTAAAGATTGTTTGTCATTAGTAAAAATATCTTTGTTAATTACCAGTAAGTAGCGAATTGCCCGTGGTTCAAACGCAGATCCTTGTTATTATATTTGTAAACATTGCCCGTCCTTAATGTATCTGTAAATGCTAAGTATTATTGGTCATTAGTGGGGTATTCTTGTTAATATGTAAACACTGAATACCATCATTGGTCAGTACTGGAATATGTTGATATATCTGTAAAAATATTAAAAGATTTTTATTAACTGAAAGTATACACAAGTCTTTGGCTTTTATTCAAATCTTGCCAGTTGCACTTGCATTGTTTGAATAACTAAAATAAGAAATTAAATGTTACCCATAATATTGGATCACGATGTAAATGAATATGTATGCTTCTATTTTTAACATAGTCACAAGTTCCATATTCAAGTATTGATTTTTTTTGGTATTGTTCATTTTGCACATACTGTTTGATAGTAAGAACTGCACCAAATTTTCTTCCAGGAGTTGATCTGTAGAAAGTAGCAGCTCTTAGTTGTCCAAAATACTGTAACATTTTTCTTTAAGAACAAAAGTTAATGTTCATGTTTTGTTTTTTTTTCTCTTTGCTTCAATTGTCTAGGTTTGTAGAGAATTGAAATAATACGAAAACCTAACAACCAGAATTTAATGTACTTTGTCAAGGACAGGTTTGTAACCTAATAACCCAGATTTGATAGGATTTTATGTACTTTGTCAAAGACAGGTTTGTAACCTAATAACCCAGATTTGATAGGATTTTATGTACTTTGTTTAGGCCAGGTAATAATGCACATTGTACAAACAACTATTTTAGTCTACCAATCAAGAAGTAGCACACATTGTAGAAACCAGTGTTATAGTCTACCAATCAATAAGTAGCACACATTGTAGAAACTATTGTTAAATACGAAGTATGGTTCAATGACTATAACCACTGTTATAGTCTACCAATCAGGAAGTAGCACACATTGTAGAAACTATTGTTAAAGTCTACCAATCAATAAGTAGCACACATTGTAGAAACTACTGTTATAGTCTACCAATCAATAAGTAGCACACATTGTAGAAACTACTGTTATAGTCTACCAATCAATAAGTAATGCGTGGGTAAAATAAGTTTTATATGCCTCTGGTCTAGAAATTAGGCATTTGTATATAACCAAAATCCATAAAATAAGTCCTTGTAGCAGTTATATTTCTAGGAAGTCTTTAAGTTGAATATATTTATTTCATGATACAGTCCTTGTTATCTAAACTTCATATAATACTCATATTATCAGTTATCCTTTCTTCGTGAGGCTTAATTGTGAACAACAAGAACTGATATTGATAAGAATATTAACTGTTACTAGCTATCGTAGAGGCTTCTTTGGTAGAAGAATACAGATCCCAGAACGTGAAAACCACCCAGACAATGAAAATAACGGAAACTATCCAATGGAAGAGCAGCACCAAAACCCTTCCTCACCACCACGTGAACAAAACAACCTTCAAAATGAGGCGAGTTCTCTTTTTACCAAGTTAACCGAGGGGTGGGGTGCCAAGTCTACTGATGACTCGTCACTTGTACATTTAGCAAGCATAAACATACTAGATAAACTTTTAGAGGAATCTTTAAACAATTAGATGATATTATAAGGCCACAAGGTGATTCTTGTTGTAAAATTTAAAAAAGTGGCTTATTTTTTAACACTCTTTTATGAGAAATATAACTGAGTAGCTTTTCTAATACCGCATAGTAGTTCTGTAATGACAACTTTTTCAGATCCAGCCTTTAACATTAACTATCAAGTACATTCCTGACAAAATCTTGAATTTATCTTTTTTTTTTTAAAAAAAATATACTATTTTTTGTATGTTAATGTGATATGAATACAAGACTTTGCCAAACAATTTTCAGTTTGTGAAGTTTATTTAGTATTGAGATATTATGAAAATTTTACCATACATGTTTTATAATTGGTTATACCAATGTTTAATGATCTTTAGCTAAATTTATTTTTCTTGCATTAGGGTGCTGATGAGGCCCAACACTTGGAGGACATGACGAATGGCCAGGGGTCAGTAACCGTTTCTCACCCTTCTCAACTAGCTTGCATTTGGAGCTTTATCTCCAGCTTTTTCTTATCTCTAGTACCTGAGCAACCTCCTCCTGTCAATGTTAATTAGACTTGGTTTGTTTAGGGTTAGTGATTGTACTTCAAGTTTGCTTTTTGGATAAGAAATCTTTATCACTTAACCCGAGTGTGTCAACCTAAGATTTATAACAGCATATCAAATGTTATGTGCAAAGTCCACTTTATAATTACTTTTGTTTTTCACAATTAACTTTAACACATTCACTGTGGCTGCTCTAGATATTAAGTGTACCAGCCGTACACCTTGTACAGCACACTCGCATTCAACTGCTGGAGGCGAACCGTACCCCATACGACGAATTGGCAGTCAATGGGTTGAAATTTTTCAAATATTCATGAACACTGATGTTTTATAACTTGTTTGTGTGCTAACTGTTAAAGGAAAGCCTTCAACTGGATTAGTTTTAATTTCTTCATCTGATCTTTGGTCCAACACACTTGTAACAGTAGACATTTTTGTGGGAATTCCTCAAAGTATTGTATATGTAGCTTATGGGGAAGTGAGCTTTTACAGTCTGTATTCTGACTTTTTTAGAAACGTATAGAATATGCAAATATAATAGTGTTTTGTAAATGTTTTTATACTCCCCACACACACACTTTAATATTAAAATCATATAATATATCAAAAGGTCATTCTATTATTTAGTGGCTATGAACATATTTATATATATATATATATATATTATTTTCCTAAATGAATAAGTTTATTTGAAATACTGTATTAAAATTTATCGATGGAAAAACTTTGATACGAAGTAACATAAGCATATGCACCTTAGCTGTGCCAAATTCTTTCAAGATGAGAATAAAGTGTATTATATTAGAATATATTACATGAAAGTATACAACTAGCTATTTGTTGGTTCCCCGGTTAAATCATAATTGTAGTTAATATTTTAAAAGATACAGTGCAATAAATATGCTTATATCAAAGTATCTTATTTCAGTTTTTAAAATGGAATGAGATACATTTTTCCACTGCTTAAATAAGTTTTATAAGTCATAATATGATCTCTGAATATGTAAAATATTCTAAAGATTTTTTCCCCCTATTTTGATGCCAGTAGGTGGCTTTTTTTTTCCTTGCTGGGTTGTCAAGGGTTTTTCATTTCCGACCTAGTCATTGCTATTTGAGTTTCCACTACTAGCATATCTGTATATACTGAATAAATAAAGGCCTTTTATCCTTAGAAAACTTAACCGTTTGTTTATTAAACAATAAAAACAACAGAGAAGTAGAACTGTTAGTTATACTAAAGGATGTAGGATGACATTACAGTTTCAAGAGAGAGAAATGCCTTGTGGATTGTATTCTGAAAAGCTTTAGAATTCTTTTATAAAATTCTCTGTCAAAATTGATATCTTACAGTAGTACTGTAGATAACCTTCTGAATGTAACTTTAATTTTCACACCTATAAACCTTTCTGTCTCTCATAGCACATGCAATACTCAATACACATTTGAAGCTCTTTGAAGAAGATTTAACTAAAACGAACTTGTCTGTACCGCCAACATGCTACCTACTCTTAACTTATTTCATCAGTCTCGAGGTAGCTCTTTAATCATCACATTTTTTGTAAAAGCTAAGCAGAAAAATTAAATGTTATCGTGAACAAAAGTATGTGTGCACTCTTGAGCCTTTTCACTGTATTCTAGGTCAGGAAGTAGAAAACATAGTGCAGACATTCCAACACAAATTTTCAACTCTTCCTACTGTACAAAGGATAAAAGATATCTGATAGTAATAAACGTTTATTTTTTTTCTTTGTTTCAAGGTCAAGTAGATAACATGCGTGTTAAAATACCAAAATAATATCTATTAATTAACATTTATTCCCCATTTTAAACACTGACTATAGTATTTATAGTCTAATTTAATACACAAACATAAGGTAAGACCTAGTTGAAACACAGCGTGGTGAATTTTATTTTGCTTTTGGCTACAACTGTCACAAAACTTCTGAATTATACAATTTTGCTCTTATATCACCAAAGTTATCAAAAAATAAAAAAAAACCTTTCTAGCAAAGCACCGTGAATATTGAGTATTCAACATAAACAAACACCATAGTTGACCTAAGAACAATCAGGCGATAGTTTTGTTGCTAAGCAACGAGTAATGAAAGGAATAAACCTTTTATAGTTAGTGATGATTCCCAATCAGAGTAAGAGCTGTATATACCGAGATTGACTGCTAAGATCAATCTGGCCACAACTCTCTATATACATTTCTAGTTATAAAGATTAGAATGCATTGTTTCATCAGCTGGATACTCTCAATGTTAACATGTTATGTCTCCGTTTGTTAATTGATTTTTCCGTAACTTTGTTCCGACGAAATTTTAACAACACAAGTCTTTACTTAATAAAACTGGTTTATTCTTTCCGAATATAACTTTACCGACACACTCAACTTCAACAATCGCTCTAAAACAACGCTATACCAACGAACGTCAATAATACTTCTGACTGCAGATCAATTACACACTCTCTACACACACATTACCTTCTCGCGTCATGTTGTCCCCTCTTATATATACCCACCTACCCTATATCTAGTAAGAACTAGAACATTCGCCAAAGTACAGGATAATTCTAGAAAGTAGTAAGCGTGAGAATCACATGATCTCGATGACGCAACAAATATTTATGCCCATTTTACATTAATTATACAAATAAACTTCCCAGTCATCATAAAAAATAAAGCACAGACCGGTATTTTAGTGTATTATTTTTGCCATTACAAGAAATTTTAGTTTCTACAATTTAATTTTACAATAATTGGAATTTAACGTAGATTTTAGCAAAACAATATACAGAACTCTTTTTTTTTAAAAGTAGCCTCCCAGTGGCACAGCGGTACGTCTGTGGAGTTACACTGCTAGAATCCGGGTTTTGATACCCGTGGTGGGCAAAACACAGATAGCCCATTGTGTTACTTTGTGCTTAAACTTCCAACAAACTAAACTTTTAAAATAACTTACACATGTCAATGAAGTAAGAATTTCATACCCAACCAACAACACTTACTTTTACTTAACATAATCTTAAGAACAAATAAATGTCTCAAATTACCAGAATAAATAGTGGTTTTAATTCTGGATTTTGGTTACTAGTTTTGCATTATGTTATTTTATTATAATTGTGAAGTTGAAACTTGAAAAATAATCCACATATTTCTGTGTTTATTTCTTCATTTACATGTACAAATTTCATTCTGAAATAGATTTGGGTATTCATTTATTAAAAAATGCTGTTTTAACTCATTCTTTTTTTTCTAATAACTAGTTTATTTAGTCTAAAAAAGAACAATTCTTCTAGTTATATTTGTCCTCAGGAAATATCTATGCTGAGTACATAAATGTACACAACAAATGAAAAACTCCCGTTAATAATGTTCATTTGACATTGGTAGTGAAAGAAAGGGAGACATTTGCTTAGACGACGAAACATACAAATTTCAATAAAAGTTTATTATGTCTTTAACTTAAATATATACATTTTCAAGTTCAGAAATGATGGTGTTTAAGTAACGATTTGAGTTGTAATACCATCGAACGTGTTCCATACTTTCAGCTGTAGATGCGTGATAAAATTAATTCAATTAATCAGTTTAAACAGCTGGACAAAGCACGTGTGACAGTAGGTGCTGCTAACTTTGCTACCCTCCCTCCCTCTGGTTAGTAGTCCAAAATTACGGATGACTCTAAAAGGTCTCTAACCTGGCTATTTGGCCCATAATTAAGAAGGTAAATCTGTTGCTCTATTGGGGTTGTCTTGATTTTATACAGACTTGATAGCTTGAGACATTTTGAAACATGGTTCGTGTAACATAATTATGTGCTGTATGACTGCTATTTTTGTATTACACATACAATCAATCAACTTTTCAAGTAAACTCCAGCATGTGATTACAAGAGATAGCACACCAGGAAGAAGAATTTACTGATCTCGAGAGTAAAAGCTGAAGATACCTGTACTTAAATCAAACAGTTCTCAAGCTGAGCAGTACAGAGTAGATTAAGCAGTTCGTTATTCCACCTAGCATTCAAACTGCACTAAAACTAAAATTTAGTTCTTTTGTCTAGGTTAAATAATATCATCCAACTAGTTTGATCAAATGGTAAGTTAAATTCTCAAAATGATAAAAGAATAATTAAATGCAAAACAACAGTTCAGAAAAATGAAATGTTACAAACTAAAGTACGTGTGCACTCTGAAAGACTTAAATAGCACTCTTAAGCCTTTTCACAGTATTCTAGGTCGGGAAGTAGAGAACAGTGCGGGCATTGACACAAATTTAACTCTTCCAACTGTACAAAAGTAAAAAATATTTGGTAATAATAAATGTTTATTTTTGTTTCATGTTTTAAGGCCAAGTAGATAATACACGTGTTAAAATATCAAAAGTTTTGGCTTCAACTTAATGTCATGAAACTTCTAAATTAAACTATTTTACTGTTATATCACCGAAGTGGAAGAACAAAACAATACTACAGTGAAATGCCTATAGTTGCAAATTAATTTGTACAAGCAACATGTATCTAATTCTAAAAAAATCCATGAACTGTTCCAATAATGAAATGTATTGTCACTTTGGTTAGTTATGTTTTTCAAATGTTACTTTTTGTTGCCTAGTTAAACATCAATCAGTATAATACAAAATGCCTCATGTTGATTAAACTCCGGTATCAAGCAAAAGGAGTTGTCAGCAGTTTCGAGCAGCACGAGATGCATGGTCGAAATGCTATTATATTATGTTTGACTGTAAACCGAGTAAAGAAAGTATCATATAACACAAACTAACAATCTCAAAATTAAACTTTTAACAGCTTTAGTTGTTAAATGGAATTACAACTCAAATGTGCCTGTAAAATCACACAAGCACAGAAACATGCTGCACTTGCAGGAAAGAAAAATATTTTAAATCTTACAGATAAAAGAAGGTAATTAAGAAGGTTTTTTATTTTATTTTATAAAACTATGGATTTTGGTATACAAAATGTTATAATAAAGGATAAACTTGCCTTATTCTATGTACAGTATCATTACAAAAAGATCTTGAAATTACTTGGGGCAGATGCATCTTAAATCATAATTTGAAGTTATTAAAACAACTCCCTTTTGAACGTACTCTGATTACAGAGTTTTGCATTTTTAACTTTAACCAATTTTTGTATACAGCCAGTGATATAAATACAGAAATTTGTGAAGCACACGTACCCATAAACATCCAAAAGCATTACTCAAGAGATTTCCTGTCACTCTTTACAGAACATTTACTTAAAGAAGTTTGTTTTAAATTTTTTATATTTAAATTGTCTAACTGTGCATATAAAACTATTGTTAATAGTGATAAATGAATTTGAACAATGAATGGCTAATTTGTGAGAAGTACAGAAAGCTTTATATCGAAACCTGGATACACTGGCTAGGTTATAAAATTCAATTTTTCTCTCAGTGCTAATTTCCTTTCTCTCCAAGCACAAATGCTGAAACAAGTTTTTATAAAACATACAAGTATATAAAAGATAATTAATGATGGTAGCCTTTTACCTTTAGACCTCAATTATAAACAATGTATATTTGTTTTGTTTACAAATCCACAAACATCCAGTGTGAAAAAAGTTAAAAAAAACGAAATTCAATTTTCATGAATTCCAACTTTGAATGCAACATGTTCATGCATCACAAAAACTAGGCACTAATAATCACAGACTGTTTAGTCACACAAACACACTCTACAATATAATTTCTATCTTGGTTGAGAGTTTGACACTACTTCAACGAACAGGTGAACTAATGTATAATTTTATGTTAATAATTAGTTAGTGCTTAATGTACATTATAAACAGCTCTAATAAAACTGGAACTAGACTAAAAAATATTACTAGTTCCAATAATTTTCTATACTGAATATATTACAACAATGTACCATTCTTGTGTTCACAGACTATAAAACAGCGTAACACTTAAGTTTGTGTCATTATTATCTCAAATTCTTTCAGAGTTCATACAAAAAAAACGTTAGATATCACAATAAATATCTTTGAAGTTCTTCACATAAATGTAAGTTAACTTTCTTTTCACTACGTCAATTCTTGGAAAAATAAAACTAGTTAAAGAAAATCAAAACTGTCCAACGAACCAAGACTATAACTCCGCTACTTCACTTTGAGAAGAGAAATCAGTTTTGGTCAGAATTTTGTCACTTGGATGAGTACAAACACTTAACACTTTACAACTGTCATTGCAAGGCACCTGTTCAAACATTTTCATACTTTCTGCTAATGGCTCATCTAAACTTCCTTTTTCAGAAACAACAGGAAACATTTCGCATATAACTGAAGTATTAACATCCTCGTATCTCCCAGAGACTGTTTGAACATTATCTCCTTCTTCCAAAATAGGTGGATTTTCAATACCTCCTAGTGGTGGTAACCTTTCTTCTGGCTCAGTACATCCATCACCACCATATCTTTCAGGAATATCTTCAAAAGATGGAGACTTAGAAACAACTCGAGGACAAATTGAACTCCCAAAGAATGGCCCTCTTGTATCCAAATAGCTTGAGGATCTTAAATGATTTAAAGCAACAATTTATAGCTAATCCACACAAAACTTACTTCTAATAATTACAACTGTCAAAATATTTCATAACTAAATTTTTCCTCAACATTCCTTTTTTTAACTTTTGTCCATATTTTTTCTCAAAAATGAAAGAAACTAATACAAATAACTATAAATACAAAACTCATTACGCTGTACACACAAAAAATGAAATAAAAAAGTTAATTCACATTAATACAGTCTGTGATTAGCCCTAACTCAAAACAAAAACATTAAAAGTAAAAGCCAAAAGTGGCCATCGGCATAGTAAGAATATAGAGAAACACATCTGTGTCATGTTTGATCCAGTGTGGTATGTTAACATACTGTGTGTTTCTACCTCAAAGTTTTTTAATAGAATATTATTATAAATTTAAGTTATTTCCACGGTCAAGAAAGTCGTCAAGTTCATTTCATTCTAACTGTCTTTGATCCTTTTTCATTCTCTAGAGATAACTATTCTTCCAATGGCAGGTATGTGGCTGTAATGTTACACATTGAACAAGGATGTCGACAACAGTTTGTCCTTCAGTGGTAGAGTGGGTAGTATTTCAAGGTTACAGCCTCACATGTTTGAATGAGAATGACCAGTTGTGTGGGTATCGCTGGTCACACTGGGAAAATGGAACATTTGCTGTGAAGTAAGGATCATTAGATTTTAAACAGTCTGGTAGAAACCTTCATAGAGTAAGCAGTCCGAGAGAAGACATGGAAAATCCCATAAAACAAACAGTCTGTCATTCTGTAAAAGCAGGTCCACACTGTTTGTGTTAAGTTTGTTTTAATAAAGATTGTTCACTTTGTATTTTCCAATCTCTTTATTTCATTCTTATGAGATGCAGCATTACTCTATAATAACCCTCTTGTTGAATCTCCTGTTATTAAGTAGACCTATCCCATTACTTTGAGATTGATTCAGTTCAACCTCATTACACCACAACAGTATGCAATACATTTCAGATATTAATTTTATAATTAGAAAGGTGAAAAGGGTTGGTTAATATCATGACAACCTAATATTATAAAGCAAATAAAAGGAAATAAAAAAAGTTATGCATTCACACTACATACATGAGAATACACATTCTGCATATTTAAAACTTTTTGTATTTTAACATTCTTAGCCTTATACCATTCTTTGTTTTCTTGAATTGTGTGTTTAACAGGGTCTATGAAGTCATATTTAATGGTCATTTTTCCTGTCCAGTTACATAACATCAGTCACATTTTTTTAATGTACTAGGTTCTTTTCTATGATACTTAAACATTGAAATATTTAAATTGTATCTATTCATGTAATCTCTGTCCAATTGTATTTAAGATTATTTCATACACCTTACTTGAGAATGAAAATATCTAGATTTCTCTCCATTTGTAAAAACAAATGTAATAGAAATATCACACTTAGAATTAGTAGCAAAAATTAAACTACCTTTCTGATAATCTTGCAGCTATCTCTGTTAATGTGTCATTTTGGTTTAGTGTTGATAAACCTTCCTGAAACCAATATTTCTGAGACTTTTCAAGCCTGAAAAATAAATTCATTATTATCACCTTGTATTAGGGTCACAGAAGCATTCACTAAGTGGTTAGCACAGAGTAAAAGATAATACAAGTAAGGATAAACTTTATATTGAAAGTTATACATTGTCATTCTTTTCTATTCTGGAACATTCTTTTAGTTGAGGAAAAATGTCCATCAATTAGCAAGTACAATATCCTGAAGGCTCAAATAGTAATGAATCAGTACACTTGAATCAATTAGTACATAAAACCTTAGTAATGATGCAATCCAATCTGAATTTAAGTTCAATCTCTTTCTGAAATGCATTAACTTCATACTATTGTAGTAAACAAACCTATATATGATCCCATCTAGAACATTAATGTTAGATATGTAATCTTATATTGTAATAGGAAACCTTCCCTTAATCCACAAAGTTCCAACTTAAATCATTTCATTACTGCCATACCCCAAAAGCCTGTAAAAAAACAAAATTTAAGTTTTATAATTTCAAAGACTTGCTATCTTTGGACTTGTAGAAAAAGTATATCTACCGTTTAACATTTTCCACATACTCGGGAAACAAAACTGACACACTGTCATTTCTGCAAGTATATTATTGCTCCAGTTTTAATTGTCAAGTCAGTAAACAAAAGTATAAAAAAATACACCATCAGAAGGCAATTTATCTAAATGAATAAATCTGAATACCAATTAATTAGCTAATTAAGGTTTGATATATCAGTCGTAAAAAGTTAGCTAGCATCAAAGTGAAGTTCTAGCAATTGTTCATTTTTAAACCTAATTTGGTAACTTAAATTTTCATAATTTTTTTCTCACAAATATATATTTTCAGTTTTGTTTTTCTTGTCAATACCCTACCCATTCCACCACTTACTCCAATACAAACTGACTTTAGAATACTTGACAAAAAAAATATTTCTGCCATCAACAAAGGTTAAATTTCCTCAGCAAGTCCAATCAGAATTTTTGACTTTAAGGGTTGTTTAAAATAAGTTATCGTTTCTTATAAACAGCAAGTGTTTATTTTCTTTAACAGCATCAATCATAATTACACAAGTTTTTAAGGTCAATATAAAAAGAATTTCCAGGAGTTTACTACTCAGTCAATATTTCTGAATGATCATCACTTGTATATTATCTAAAATGTGATAAATAATCTGATGTTTACACGGAAGAAGTGTGGTAGTTTGAGTTCTTAAAAGGTTTCTTACTAGTGAAAGCTAGCAAAATAATCCTTTAGTTCAGTTTGGAGGTCATTTGCAAAATGCTGGTTTCAATCCTGCTCACAGGACATACAAAAATTGGCTTACCACATCAGCAAAATGAGTTTGGGAAATTAAAATTGTGTCTGCTCACTCAAATGCAAATTTCAAAATGTATACAAGTTAATGATATACTAATACTGTTTTTAATTGTGTATTATTAGACATTTTACAACTTATATATATATATTTTATACACCCGTACATTGACAAAAAAGGTGGGTCTTTAAAACACAGCTAACAATGGGTAGATTTGAACGGGTTGCTAAAAACTAAAGCTACACTTTCTTACATAAATAAAAACATATCTGCCATAACACAGAGATAAAAAACACATATTTTAACATAAAATGTGAAACCAAATTTAAAAGCTACCTTCAATTAAAAAAACAATGAAAATAAACATCTGTGAGCAGTAAAGGGTCAGTTCACATCTAATACCATACTTACAGATAAATAATAGTTCTTATAACAGTTCAAATACTCACATATTGACCAGAGCCATGTTGAGATGATGTAGACGAAGAAGATGAGCAGATACAAGATGAAGGCTGGAAGTACGTTGAGAAGTGCAGTTGCGAGTTTTGGGGCTAGAGGTCAGTGGACCCAACATCTGTGGACACAATCCTACACTCTGCATTGTTAGTGAACATTCTAGCCTGTTAAATAAATAAGACCTTATAAAATATTGATGTTTTTTAAAAATTCAGTTAAAACCATGCATTTAATTGGTCATTTTTATTACCTCTAAATCTTTTTTTTTTTAACATTGAAGCTTATTCACACAAATTAATTTCCAAGTTATTTTCCAGTTGGATAGAGAATACAGAGCATCTATATTTTAATTTTTAGGTTGTCTCTTCAAATATCATAAAAATAGTATGTCTGATCGTGTGGTTGCTATGCTAGTGACAGGTAGCTTCTTTACATGAGTCTGATTTCTCACTGCTACAGCAATACAACTTCTTTAACCCTATATACATATATGGTGGTCAAAGTGCACACGCCAATACTTTTCACAGAGTGCCATTCAAGATGGTATTATGTATTTGATGTCAGAATTATCAAATAGTCATTTTACTCAACATTGTTGATGTTGATTTAACTACAGTTCATGGTAGAGGAGAGTAAATACCAGATACAATATATAAACATACTGAAAAAACTGTATATACACATTTTGGGTTATTCAAACTGTATAACTGACAAAAAGTTTTATTCTTCTGTAGATACACATTTTGGGTTATTCAAACTGTATAACTGACAAAAACAGTTTATTCTTCTGTAGATACACATTTTGGGTTATTCAAACTGTATAACTGACAAAAAAGTGTTATTCTTCACGTGAACATCACCTTGCCCCTCCAACTTGTCCGAGTCAGACTGATGTCATCAATTCACAGACATGTCTTAAGAACAAATACTTTTGTAACACATCTGATTTATTTTGTTTACTAACGGCTTTGAAATTACAGCCAGTATTCCTTCTCCATTATGGGGTGTGCCATTGGATTAACCCCACGCACATTCAGTTAAACAAGTATAGTCAGTTACTGCTATAATAGTGACAAACACATAGCTTCTTTAAACAAGTCTGGTTGCTTACTGCTAGGGTAATGACACTTATTTCTTTTACTCAAGTCAGATCACTAATATAACAGTAAGTGACCTAGCTTCTGCTGCCAAGGAACCATTACGTACCAACATATAATATTATTTCAAGGCATAACTGCACCCTATCACTTAAAAAAAAGTTTTACAGTATCTTATAAGATTTATAATTCACTTACCTTCTCCAAATGTTCCATTGATAATAAAAGTTGTGTATAAAATGCTAAGTCTAATTAACCAACACTTCCAACACAATTTCAAGTTCACAAATAAATTATGTATCTAAAGCCATATACAAATACCTGAGGAAGGTACTGTTCATTGGAGGCATTATGGGATATGTCTTGAAATGTTTAGAGGGACTATTGTTTGTTACATAGGTAAGCATCAAGTATTGGAGAATGGGGGGCATTTAATAAGTTTGTAATTCTTTAATCACTGCAGTAGTATTACACCCATGACTTCAAAGGTGGTTGTGTTTAATTTACTTACCCATTCCGAGCTTTTCTTGGAAATTAAACAAATATATAATTATTCTGAATTTCCAGTTGTGTTATATAATAAAATGCATTGGAGAAAGGGTATAAGTTATATTCTTTTCAATATAACTGGTAGTTAACTTATCGAAATCATTGGTTTAAAGGCACAGTATCCATAATAATAAATTTAAACACATTTTTTAAAGTTAATTATTTTGCTATACAGTTCCTTCACTCCTGAACAAGTGGTAAGTGATTACATGGTTCTCTACACCAGTGTTTTGTTTGCAAATACACATATTATAGCCATTTCAAACTTACTTGAGGGATTTGAGCAAGATTTCTTGTTGAGATTGCAGTATTCTGATTTCTTCCTCTAAAAGCTTAACTTCAGCTTCTCTATCCTTCAGCTTTTGCGTCAGCAAGTATACACTTTCCTCCAAACTTTCACACACTGCCTACGATTTAAAACAACCACACCATGAACTGGTGACGACAGATACTAACAGATTAAAGAGTTGGAAGAAAGAAAGAAAAAAACCACACACAAACACACTTTGTGTTTCTCAAACTCTGAGAGTTTCAAACTAATACAGAATGTTGTTTAGGTATAGGTAACCATTCCTCTAAATGAATACTCAGAGGGACAAAAAAAGGACAGATGCTATCATTGTTGTTGAGTAATGCCATACTGATCAATAGGATTTATATAACTGTATATTGTTCTACTAACCCTCTTCTAACTAATATGTTAACAAGTCTATGAGCAGCTTGGTTGTTATTAACTTTAAAAAAAAAATCATATTTAAGAAACATTGGGAACTCTTGATCCACACTTGAAGAAACTCCCACAACTAAAATAATTGTTAATTTCATCCTTTCGTAACCAATATGATAAATCTACATGAGGTCAATCTGAACTGTCCATCCCAAGTTTGAAGTGATAGACAAGAGTGAATGCAGCTAGTCAATACCACCCACTGCCAACTCTTGGGCTACTCTTTATCAATGAGTGGTGGGATTGACCATCACATTATAACACTCCCATCTCTGAAACAAAAAATATGTTCAGTGAATAGATTCTATCCCATGACTCACAGATCGTGAATTGAGTGCTCCAACCACCCGGCCGTGCCATGCCCCAACTAGTTTAGAACATATAATCACATAACTTGTTCACTTTTCTTGACATCCTTGTATATGTTATTTGGAATAGTCATTCACATAGGTAATCTAAGACTTAAAAGTATAGTATTACATTATTCTTATTTTTATCCTTTCCTGTGCAAATGATTATTGCAAAGCCTTCCTTACCTAAGCAACCAGTAAGAAAATAAATAAAAGGCCAGTCAATATGGTGTCAAACAGAAACATTGTTGAGAATAAAAATTTGTTTTACTCGTTCACCAGCTTTCCTTTACTTTCCAAATTCAGCTTATTCTTTGTATAACATTTCCAGAATCTGCATTTTAGAAATACGTGAACATATTTGTCAGACATAAGTGTACGTGAATAACATAACTGGTTGTATCAGTCATAAACTACATGATCACACCTACTGACTAAACTTGTAACATCATTACAAACACAAAATTAATATATGTAAAAATTAATTTGGAATGCTACTTCATACTACTTATAATACAAGTCAAAAAATAATTCCATTTATACAAATAAATGCTAAATATTTGATTTTGCATACAGCTAAACAGCAGAAACACAAACAGTTCACTACATATTGTGGGTTGAGTTCTTTATATTTCTTTTTTTTGTAATTATTACCAAACTTTAAAGATTAATTGGAATAATTATGTTTCAACCTATGAATAGCTAACAAGCTTGAATCAAAACCACTATAAAACAACCATGGTATTCATTATTCATATACACCAACGTCCAACAGAAAGTCCAAAAGCTTCCATAAAAACCCTGGTTCAGGATTATTAAGGAAAGAAGAAATTGAACACAGACACAGGAAAAAAAAATTGAACACATGTTAACATAACACACAAAATTATATTCACAAGTTTTGTTTGTTTTTTTTTAATTTTGCGCAAAGCTACACGAGGGCTATCTGCGCTAGCCGTCCCTAATTTAGCAGTGTAAGACTAGAGGG